CCTCTGCGAGGACAGATCTGCCCGGCCCCCCCCCCCAATAGCTAGCAATCCAAAAGAGTCCAGTGGAGCCTGAGCGGTGGGTGTTGCCTTCTGACACACTTCCGGTGATGTCAGGGGGTGTGGCATATGCAAATGAGTTATGCTAATGAGCTCTTGCACCTCTTTTTCTACGAAACGACCCCTGTAGCATACAGCAAGGGTAAGATACTTGCTTCTCATGCCTGGCTCCTCAAAGACCGCCTACCTTCATTCCCAGGCAAGGGGTGGCACGGATCAGTCACCCTGGAGTCTGCAGCTCAGCGTCTGAACCACTGATGTAGCACCCCCCTGATTTCCAGGCATGCTGCCTCGCTCAGTCCAATGGTTTCGCCCTGACCTGGTTAGCCCAGGCGAGTCCAGTCTCGTCAGATCTTGGCAGCTAAGCAGGGTCGGCCCTGGCTAATATTTGTACGGGAGACCTCCAAGGAATGCCAAGGCTGGGACGCAGGGGCAGGGAATGGCAAAACCACCTCTGAACCCCTCTTGCCTTGACAACCCCACCGGGGCCTCCCCATAAATCAGCTGTGACTTGACGGCACTGCCCCACCACCACGCTGTTGTAGATGGGCTGGGGGGGGGCAAATCTTAATACTGATAAGATCTCTTTACACAATAGTATTAACAGTGCCATTCACCAGCAATGAATGGTGTAAAGGTTAGTTTACATATAAATCAGCAACAGTAAGAATGTGAATAGGAGCTGCAGTTAAGATGGTTAAGACGCTGAACTGCAGGCCGTGGAAGGTCGGTAGTTCAGCAGTTCGAGACCCGAGTGTGCCGCATGACGGAGTGAGCTCCCGTCTCTCGTTCCAGCTCCTGCCAACCTAGCAGTTCGAAAGCAAGAAACTGCAAGTAGATAAATAGGTACCACTTCGGTGGGAAGGTCACAGTGTTCCGTGCGCCTTGGTGTTGAGTCATGCCGGCCACATGACCACGGAGACGTCTTCGGACAGCGCTGGCTCCTCGGCTTGGAAACGGAGATGAGCACCGCAACCCTAGAGTCGGACTCGACTGGCTTTCGAGCAAGGGAACCTTTACCTTTACCTATAAGAATGTGAATGCATATATGAACACGTGAAGCGGCTTTATACTGAATCTGACCCTCGGTCCTTCAAGGTCAGTATCGTCCACTCAGACTGGCAGTCGCTCTCCAGGATTTCCAGCGGAATCTTTCACATCACCTACTATCTAATCCTCTTAACTGGAGATGCCGGGGATTGAACCTTGGACCTTCTGCATACCAAGCAGAGATACTCTACCGCTAAGCCACATAATTGTTTGTTTTGATGTCAAACGATAAAACATTCTGATGCAAAATAATAAGTAAGCTTTTAAATAAACTACTAGGCACCGCAATGAAATTTCTAGGCCCCACGGCAGCCTCATAGCTGCCATTTGCCAAGCCCTGTTATTGCGTTATAAACACTTAATGGAGTTGAAACCCCTGAAATATCCTTCAGTTTGACCAAATCAAACAAAAGAAGGAACCAAAGTTACGTGGGCCAAAGTTCAGTGGGCCAGAATGGTTTCTCTCACACAAAAAAACCACTCCAAAGCAAAGGCTAACGGCTATAAAAGGTAAAGGTTCCCTTGCTCGAAAGCCAGTCGAATCCCACTCTAGGGTTGCGGTGCTCATCTCCGTTTCCAAGCCGAATAGCCAGCACTGTCCGAAGACGTTTCCATGGTCATGTGGCCGGCATGACTCAACACCAAGGCGCACGGAACGCTGTTACCTTCTCACCGAAGTGGTACCTATTTATCTACTTGCAACTTCTTGCTTTCGAACTGCTAGGTTGGCAGGAGCTGGAACTAGAGACGGGAGCTCACTCCGTCATGCGGCACACTCAGGACTCGAACTGCTGAACTACCGACCTTCCACAGCCTGCAGTTCAGCGTCTTAACCACTTGAGCCACCGCAGCTCCATAACGGCTATACATCAAGAGAATAAATTCAGAGCCCAGGGGCACCTGTAAGATCAACAAAGTTTTATTCAAGGTATGTTGTTTTTGTTGGTCTTCAAGGTGCCAACGCTGGACTCTAAATTCGTTCTGCTGCTTCAGAGCAACACGACTGCCCACCTGATGCTATACATCAACTGTCCTTTATTAGATTTGTGTGGAATTTGGCCAGATTAAGCCACTAACAAGACATGTTCTGTATGCCAAATTCTCGAGTAATACAGCAAATAACCTGGATTTTGTGACAAAGAGAGTGTCTGAATTGTGTAATGGTAGAATGCTAAAGAAGTCTGGCTAGATGCTCTCGGAAGTCTAATATCGAAATGACACGTTATCGGATGGCCAATACTTTTTACAGGAGATGAATGCTAGAAGAATGTCCAGTGAGGAAGTGTCAGAACTCGGTGAAGAGCATTTTTGGAAACCAATTTGTACTGACACTTTTGCAACTCACCTTGAAGGGTATAGCTTCACTGTCGCAAGCTGAGGATTAACCCTTTCCTCTCTTAATTTCAGACGTAGGCGGTCCATCACCAGCACCTGGTGGTAAGCTGCTATCAACTCCTGCATGCTCCGGTTCGCCCTCCCCTAAGCAGCGTCTCCTTTGTGCCACTGGTGTTTTTATTCATTACATTTTACTCATTTACATTCATTACGTTTTACTCATCGGCCTCTAAAGAAGTCAGTGTGGTAGAGTGAAGTCAGTGGTTGAACAGAGACGCTCCCTTCTCCGCTCACTGGTAAAACTCACTGGGTAACCTTGGGGCAGTCGCTCTTAGCCCAACACACATTTTTGGACATGAGAGAAGAACATAAGAACACAAGAGAAGCCAATGTTGGATCAGGCCAGTGGCCCATCCAGTCCAACACTCTGTCACACGGTGGCCAAAAATACCAGGTGCCCTCAGGAGGTCTAGCAGTGGGGCCAGGACACTAGAAGCCCTCCCACTTTTGCCCCCCCAAGCACCAAGAATACAGAGCATCCCTGGCCCCAGACCGAGAGTTCCTATCTATACCTTGTGGCTAAGAGCCACCGATGGACCTCTGCTGCATATGCTTATCCAATTCCCTCTTGAGGCCGCCCATGCTTGTAGCCGCCGCCACCTCCTGTGGCAGTGAATCCCATGTGTTCATCACTCTTTGGGTGCGTTCAGACGGGGCATTTGCAACGGTATAGGTGCCGGTTGGAATCGGTGTACATACCGGCATTCACACGGTGAACATCTGCCTTCCGTCCCTAACCGTTGCAAAGAGCTTTAAACCGTTGTATTCTGCCACTAGGTCCCGAAGTGGTGGTATCTTGAGTGCAACGCTTGTAATCACTTTACCCTCTGTCTGATCGCTCTACAACGTTGTAGAGCCACTTCCGTTCGGAAGCCCGAGGGTTCCGATTTTCGACCACCATTTTTTTTTTAGGTCGGCGATATGCGCTTGGGCGAAGCTTCGCCCCGGCGTTTGTTTAAAAAAAAGAAAAGAAAAGGTCCTTAGTTTAACGTTTTAGAGAAGTCCGGGACCTCAGGGAGGCCACTTTGCTCTTTAAACTTTAAAGGTAAGTCGTTACCTTTAAACTTTAAATGTAAGACGGGGTGTTTTGCGCATGCGTGAAGATCGCCATTCTGTGGATTGCTGCCTATGCGCATGCGCAAACTGTGTTAAAAACACAAAACAAACCGCTGACGCCCGCTGTGTGTGACCCCCCCAAGCACCAAGAAGACAGAGCATCACTTGCCCCAGAGTCCCTATCTATACCTTGTGGCTAATAGCCACTGATGGACCTCTGCTCCATATGCTTATCTAATTCCCTCTTGAAGCCGTCCATGCTTGTAGCCGCCACCACTTCCCATGGCAGTGAATTCCATGTGTTAATCACTCTTTGGCTGAAGAAGTACTTCCTTTTATCCGTTCTAACCCGACCGCTCTGCAATTTCATGGAGTGCCCAGTGGGAGGCAATGCCATGGAGTCCACCCTCCGAAGCAGCCGTTTTCTCCAGGGGAGCTGTTCCCTGTCGTCTAGAGATGAGCTGCCATTCCCTACCTGAGGGTGAAGTCTTTGGCATTATACCCCACTGAGGTCTCTCCCCTCCTTAAACCCCACCTTCCCTCGGCTTCACCCCCCCAAAAAAAAGGTCTCCAGGAATCTCCCAACCTGGAGATGGCAACCCTGCTTGTTCAGGAGAGACTAGGGGTGCCCATTGCCAGGTGGGGGTTCCTGCCAGCCACTGGACAGCTAGCTTGTGGGGGGAAGTGACCACCGGTGACTCAAAAGGGTGCTCAAAAGTCGCACTTTCAGCACTTTCCCAATCCTCCCCCGTTTCTGCTAAGCGCAGTCCTGCCGTATACCACCTAGGTCACGGTGAGTTTTTCAAAAGCATCCCCGTGAGCCTTTGGGAAACGTGCCCTCCCAAGATCACCCCTGAACTCCAGCGGCAGCTTTGCCGCTTGGAGTTCAGGCCTGCATGGGCCCCACTTCTTGCAAGCAAGATTCAAAGGATTCAAAGCCAGTTTGGTGTCGTGGTGAAGGATGCGGACTCTAATCTGGGCGAACCGGGTTTGATTCCCCACTCCTCCACTGGCAGCTGCTGGATGACCTCGGGCAAGCCATAGTTCTGTCAGAGCTGTTCTCTCAAGGGCAGTTACTGTCAGAGCTCTCTCAGCCCCACCCACCTCACAGGGTGTCTGTTGTGGGGAGGGGAAGGGAAAGGAGTTTGTAAGCCGCTCTGAGACTCTGAGTGATGGGCGGGGTATAAATCCAATCTCCTCCTCCTCCTCCTCCTTTGCATGGGCTGGTCCCCACTGTGATGACATCACTTCTGTGTGACATCATTGCATTGGGGATGTCCCCTCCCTCTCCAGGAATTATGCCCCTCCAAAGCAATGTTCCCTCTAAGCTGTGGAGTCTTGTGAGCAAAAATTCTACTATATGAGCTACTGACATTAAAGTTGTGAGCAAGGATTTGGCTACTGCATAAATCAGTTTGCTTTGGAGCCATCCTTCCTGAGCTAAGACAAAAATGTGTGAGCCGGAGGCTAAAAAACTGTGAGCTAGCTCACACTAACTCAGCTTAGGGGGAACACTGCTCCAAAGTCCCCTGCTGGCGACGAGGGAGACCGTAGAAGAAACCCAGCTCCCCTCAGAAAAGCCCCTCAGTGACTCTCCTTTCTCTCTCCCCCCCCTCCAGTTCACCAACCCTTTTCTGTCCTGTTGCCAGGCAACCCCTGACAAGGCCTCTCCAGGCACTGAGGACATTGTGCGGCTGTGCTGGCCCGTGCAAAGTCCAAAACAAGAACAAAATCCAGACAATACTTTTTATGAGAATCAACCAAACCCACATAAAATATTGGCAAGCTCTCCAGAGGTCGCCTCCCAGTAGGTGGCAGTGTTTCTCAACCCAGGACACCTCATGCTGGGGAAAAAAACGAGCAATGTCTATTTTAACAATTACGGTATTTCTTGGAAAGGGTTATATATTTATTTACATGATTTCCAGCCCACCTCTCTCCCCGATGGGACTCAGGGCAGATTACGCCGCACTAAAAAGATACTAAAATTATAAAAGTTAGATCTGAGACCAACAAGATGTTCAGGGGAGGAGCCGTTGCATAAAGGCACAACAGCTTTACTAAAACAACAACAAAACAGATCCCTGGAGTGACGATCACAATGGCCTATCAAAACACTTATCTAAGTAGCTCTGCTTTGCAGAGTTGCCAAAAAGCCAACTGTATGGGAAGCTTCCTAGCACGGACTGGCAAGTTGTTCTATCAAGCGGGTGCCAGGGCTGGAACAAAAAATAGTTCTGGCATAAGCTGATTTGACAGGCCTGCAGAATGGCATCTTTTAATAGGCCCTTAATAGGCAGAGCGGCTGACAACCCCCTTCCCTTCCCCTCCCCACAACAGACACCCTGTGAGGTGGGTGGGGCTGAGAGAGCTCTGAGAGAACTTGTGACTGACCCAAGGTCACGCCAGCAGCTGCATGTGGAGGAGCAGAGAATCAAACCCGGTTCTCCCAGATTAGAGTCCATGCTCCTAGCCACTACACCAAACTGGCTCAAGGAGAAAGGACTTCACGAGTAATAACCAACACCTGGAATTAAACCCCCCTGAGCTATTGGATAGGGCGGGATAGAAATCGCAAAAATAAATAAATAATAAACTAACAGGCAGCCAGTGGTTGTAGTCTTGAGCAAGAGTGTAATACAAGCATTGTAATTTGACTCCCCCCCCCATAACAGACCTCCATTTTGAATCGATTGCAGTTTCCTAAGTGTCTTCGACCTGAGTCCCATATAGAAGGGTCTGGTAAGTTCGAGTCCAATAGCACCTTAGAGAACAACGGGATTTTCAGGGCATAAGCTTTTAAGAGCCAAAGCTCCCTTCATCAGATACAAGTCTGAATGGAGATCCCCGAGTCCTAATATCCCAGTCTGGAGGTGGGAGGGGCATTGCAAAAAGGGGGAGTCAGGATGCAGAGGTACAATGCTTGTTGTAATTCGCTCGATTAGAGCAGAGGGGAAATGCTTGCCGGTCTCTAAGGTTCTAAAGTAAAGGTTTCCCTTGCTCAAAAGCCAGTCGAATCCAACTCTAGGGGGCTGTGCTCATCTCTGCTTCCAAGCCAAAGAGTCAGCGCTGTCCGAAGACGTTTCCGTGGTCACGTGGCCGGCGTGACTAAACACCAAGGCACATGGGATGCTGTTCCCTTCCCACTGGAGGTAGGGTTGCCAGCTCCAGGCTCTGAAATTCCTGGAAGTTGGGGGAGGCAGAGCTTGTGGAGGGTAGAGTTTGGGGAGGGGGGAACTCAGTGGGGGTGTGATTCCATCAAGTTCACCCTCCAAATCTGCCATTTTTCTCCAGATCTTTTTTTAAATATTTCTTTATTTTGTGTGTGTGTGTGTGTGTGTATATATGGCCAGGGTCCGACATACCTGAGGGACCGCCTTTCCCCATATAGGCCCCAAAGAGCACTTCGGTCGGGGTCACAGCACCGTTTAGTGACCCCGGGCCCAAAAGAGGCTAGGCTAGCTACCACAAGGGCCAGGTCCTTTTCGGTGGCGGCCCCTATCTGGTGGAATGAGCTCCCAGAGGAGATCAGGGCTCTGCGGGACCTCTTACAGTTAAAAACCAGTATACAATTAATAGAATATCAAGTCTAAAACAATACAATCGATAAAATATCAAAATACAACTTATTAAATTTAAGATTAAGATGTGGCGGCCATCTGTTATAAAGTGCTAGTAGTTATGTGGTCTTTATACTCGAGAATCCGATAGAGGATCCGCGGACGACCTGGTCTTTATACTCGAGCATCCGATAGAATCCATCAATAGATTGATATTGATCTTACAAAATATGGAGGGGTAGCTGATCTTAAAATCAATTATCAAAAAACAAAAATGCTAGTCAAGAATATGACAAACACACAAGTCTCCCATATACAAGAACTTACTGGTTTTGAAATACAAAAGAAAATTAAGTACCTGGGAATAAACATAACGAACAAATGTAGCTCATTAATGGAAAATAACTATAAGGAGCTACTGAAAGAGATAAAGTAAGATTTAGAGAAGTGGAACGATCTTCAGATATCATTGATTGGGAGGATAGCCACCATCAAGATGAACATACTACCAAGGTTGATGTTCCTGTTTCAGACTATTCCAATAATACAAAACCAAAATTACTTTCAGGAACTTGATAAACTCATAACTCGGTTCATTTGGCAAACAAAAACAAAAAAACAAGAATCAAACTCAAAGTGATGCAAGATGTGAAATCTAGAGGAGGCTTTGCGCTTCCAAATTGGTCTCTGTATTATAAATCAGAAGCTCTGGCCTGGATCAAAGATTGGATAGTACTGGAAAATAATAGACTCCTGAAGCTAGAAGGCCATGGTCTACTTTTGGGTTGGTATGCATTCGTGTGGTACGGTAAGGCGAATAGCCACAAATATTTTAAACAGCACTGGCTCAGAGCTGCCCTATTAAAAGTCTGGGAGCACATTAGAAATGACTTCTATAGAAAGTCCCCAAGATGGGTGGCACCTTTAGATGCCTTTACGAATCCAACTGTTCACCAAGAAGAAAACAATATAAGATACCAAGAACTATTAGATACGCGGCTGGAGTTAAAAAGAATACAAAGAAATAATTGGTGGGAAAGGGTCCAAATCAAATCACGATACGGCAAAGATAAAGCAATGGGTTTCTATCCAAGCTATCTGGAAATAGATAAAATTTTAATGGGCTCAGACCAGAAATTTATAAGAAAAATGTATGACTTGTTACTAGAACATAGAATGCATGACGAAACAGTTCTCCAGGAGATCTTAATCTCTGTTGTCTGGAAGAATACTTGCAATGCCGGGAGGTCTCCAGGCCCCACCTGGAGTTTGGCAACCCTATGTGCAGTGGCTCTTTTCCCCATAAGGAGTTGTTTAGGTGATCTTTATTCACAAACCAACCTCCACAATGATCAGTGGCATTCTCTTGACCATATCCTTCTTTGTCTGCTCCCAGAATGCCGCGAAGAGCAGTTTCCGTGCACACGCCTGTACTCGGTCCACAAGCCTGTGAAGCAGTGTATCAGTTACCTGTGTGTTACCAGGTAAGAAAGAACCTTGTGGTTTCTCCAGCAGAAGCCAATTTCCCCCCCCCCTTAGAAATCCTAAAGAGTCCGGGGGGAGATGTCCCTCACAATGAAAGGTATCATGACGTTCTTTGGAATTCTGTGGCTTACCTAGATTGTACAAACTAGAAGCCTTTGATGCTGTCGATCCAGAGGACTTAGCCGTGTTAGTCTTGCTGCAAAATAGTAAAAAGCCCAGTAGCACCTTTAAGGCTCCGGTCACACAGAGAATTTGCCGCGCGAAAGGCACGAATGGTGGGCGGATTTTCGGGGCGTGATCACACCGCAACATCTGGGAAGCGTAGCACACCCGTGGCCAACCTGTGGCGTGCCGCCGAAGATCCGCAGTTAAAAAGTACCTGCAAAGATCTACTAGCAAATGGTTTGCCACAGGCTGCAGACGGACTCGTTCGGTGTGATCGTGCTGGCGTGCGCCTATTCCCTCCAGCCGTCCTCTTTGCGGCGCGCGCCGAAGGACGAAACCCCGGTGCGCCGCCATCACGTTTGATCGCATAATGGCGGATCAGAATGCGACGGCACAAACAGCCACGCCTCCCCTCCATGTTTTCCGGCACGTGTGGCCGGGGCCTAAGACTAACAAACTTTAATGTAGCATAAGCCTTCGAGAAACACACAGCTCTCTTCGTTTTGTGCTGTAGTTATACACGCTTAGACAACAACACGCTGGTCGTTCCCGGCCCTAAGGATATCCGGTGGAACTCTCGGGCAAATTCCATCAGGGCCCTGAATGACCTTACGCAATCCCACAGGGCCTGCGAGGCAGAGATATTCCGCCAGGCTTCTGGTTGAGGACAGCAACGGTTTTTACCTTGACTGGCACCCTCCTTAGTTTCCCGTGCTCGTTTTGACCTCTTCCCCCCGCCCACAAAAGGGCCGGCGGTCTGTAATAGGGGAATAATTAACTCTAAGACACTATTCAACATCTGTTTTTCCTTAATGTAATTTAGTATGGTCGATTGTTTTATTTAATTACTGTTTTTAATACTATGCACATCACCCAGAGTCCTACGATAATAGGGATGGGGTGATTAGTAGTAGTAGTAGTAGTACGGTAGTAGTAATAACATCTTTGGAGCAGCTCACTTTTAATTTTTTTAGGGACCCTTATAAATTCAGGTTGCTAGCCAATATTTGGCACCCGGCAGGAGATGGGGGCCGGGGACGTGGCGGGGCGGGGCGCTGCTGTTGCACACGACGTGAGATCACATCTGGGGAAAACCGGAAGTGACAGCATGTTGCTCTAGGAATCGCTGGAAACTCTATGGTAAATCGTCATACCAGGAGACCTGGCAACCCTCAGTAAAAAACCTGACCAGAACTGCACACAGTACTCCAAATGAGGTCGCACCATTGATTTATACAGGGGCATTATGATACTGGCTGATCTGTTTTCAATTCCCTTCTTTAAAAAAACCCACATTCCTGTTTTTCATGTTTCCCAGCAGTCACCGTGGCCTTCCTAAATGCAGAGCTTCAAAGAGGGGCCTTTCTTGAGTGTATCGTTATTCTTGTTCTTTCTGTTGACAGTGTCCGTAGGACGTACATGATAAACAAGGAGATCTGTTCTCGTATTGTCTGCAAAGAGGACGAAGCTATGCAGGGTGAGTAAAGGTGACGACAGGGACATTTCCTACAAACCTTCCGGATCGTGAAAGGAATAACGATAAGCTGTTGTACACCCAAGCTCGCTGGCAGGGGCAGTCTTAGTGATTCTGGGCCTTTCTTGCCTTTCTTGCCGTGTACCCCTCCACACGGTCTCCCTGAAACTGGGGTCCAAGCATGGCATGAACCTTTGAGGCAGGTGGGAGCAGTCGCTGTCCCCAGAAGCCAACCGCTCAAGCTTCAGATGGGGAAGGAGCGATCAGATGCTGCCACTGAGCTTGGGGGGGGGGGACAGGGTCATGGGTCCTCGGGCCTCTTCCCAACGTGACCGCAGTCAGGGTAACAAATGGGGGGAAAGTAAACTAAGAGCTTTAAAGACAATAAAGGGGCTCAACAGCCAAACAAAACAAAAAAGGAAGAACCGTATGCAGCTGGGGGCGCTGCTGACACGGCCACCAGGAACACTGTCACTGCACACCACCTGCATACCATCTGCCAGCACTGCGGATTCTGTGAACTTAGGCAGATCATGAGAGGGAGGGCAGGAAGGGTTGCATCAGGGCTTAGTTCTCATGGCCCTTTCTGACACGCCCATGGAAATGCCGATCGCCACTTTGGGGTCAGGAAGCCATTTTTCTCCAGGCTGGTTTGGCCAGGGATCCTGGAGGTTTTTTGTCACCGTCTGGGTGTGGAACAGGGGTCACTGAGGGTGTGGAGGGGGAGGTACTTGTGAATTTCTTGCACTGTGCAGGGGTGTAAGATGACCCTGGAGCAGTGTTCCCTCTAAGCTGAAATAGTGTGAGCCAGTTCAGTTTTTTAGCCCCCAGCTCACACATTCTTTGCCTTAGCTCAGGAAGGAGGGCTCCAGAGCAAACTAATTTATGCGGTAGCCAAATCGCTCGCTCACAACTTTAATGCCACTGGCTCACAAAGTAGAATTTTTGCTCACACGACTCCACAGCTTAGAGGGAGCATTGGTTGGGATCTATCCACTTGTTCCCTGGGCCCAAAAGACATGCACACACGCACACACATGCACCTTTGTTTATAAGGAGGAACATTGGAGGCAGAAGGGGAGGGGCTGCTCCGTCCTCTCCATGCCCACCATCTCCCCTCCCCCAGATTCCGCCCACAGCCTCTTTTCCTCCTGCTGGGTTCAAGGTGTGAGTCCCAGGGATGCCCTCCCAATGCAGTCCTGGCTTGGATTTCACAGGGTCAGAGAGTTGTCCCCCCCCCCCGGCTGTGTACAGAGAGGCTGTCAATCGACTAACCCCTTCTGCCCCTCTCTGATTGGCCCTTAGAGGAGATCTGCCGCCAGATGGCCGGTCTGCCACCACGCCGCCTCCGCCGCTCCAATCGGCCCCGCGGACCGCTCTGCCGACGGACTCAGGACCAGCATCGGAACGGGATCGAGGCTCAGTGAGCCACGGATTGTGGGGATGACTCAGGAGAGAGCCAGAACCCGCCTTTGCCCAAAGAGTCCACTAGTGACAACGTAGTCGCACACACCCTTCCCGCATCACTTCCTGCCCCGGGCAGGGAACGTCCTCTCCCGCCTCTCCCTTTGCCCTAGACATGGGGTTGCCGACTCTGGGCTGGGAAATCCCTAGAGATGCGGAGGTGGAGCCCGGGGAGGGTGGGGTTTGGGGAGGGGAGGGACCTCAGCAGGGTATAGTAATGCCACAGAGCCCATCCTCCAAAGCAAAGAAGGAAACGCTTGCATGATTTAGTAGGGGAGTTCCTCGGAGGGGTAGTTGACGTTCCCTAGTCACTTTGCTCAGGCCCGTAGCCACAGTGGGGCATTTCGGGGCTAGGCCCCCCAATTTACTGGCAAGCCCCCCCGACTCCCCATCCAGCCCAGGGAGCCCAAGTGGTGGCGGATGCAGGGAAGGAGCCGGGCATTCGTTTAATTCGATTAGCCAGGGGCCCCTAAGAAATTTAAATGCCCCCTGACTGAAAAAATCCTGGCCACGGGCCTGACTTTGCTCCTGCGCGTTTAGCAGCAGTCCAACAGGCACAAGTTAAGTAGATGATCGAATAGGGTTGGTTGCCTGTCCCTGTAACAGAGGCTTAATGGGACGTGGCTCTCCGGGTGAGGTTACTTAACTTCCACGAGCAGGGGAGATCACACAGCCAGATAGGACAACAGCAGAAAAGAAAGCTGTGTAAAAATACGCTATTAAAAATGAACAAGACATATTAATAGATTAAAAAAGGAAAACATATAACAGTCTTGTAGAATGAATAATCCCAAGTCTGTAATACACGATTGTTCGAAGGGCATTTGGGATACTCAGTGTTTCAAGTTCAAGTATACAGAATTCAAATATGCAGTACTCAATATTCCAATTTGAGTGTGAAGAAGATACCCGAAGCAAAGCACATAATCTGGATCCTCTCAAGAAACACTGAAGGCTTTATCATCTTTGCAAACACCTACACCGATTTTTAATCTTTGGAGGATTTTAGTTAGTTGGCTTGGTGTAGTTAGGTCTTTTTTATTCTCTGAGCTATGCCTGGGTTTTATATGTTTACTGATTGTGACTACTTGTCATATTTTATGTCAATTTTATGTACTTATTTTACCCCTTTTGCATTCTCTTTTGGTCAAGACTTCGGTCATATAGACCCGTAATAAATAAATTGAAAAAATAATCTGGAACTTCGTTGAATTCCGCACATTTGAACTGGAACACTGAGTACTGCCTATTTGAATTCTGTATACTTGAACTGAAACACTGACCGATTTCCCGCAAGCCGCTGCTCCGTCCTCGCTCCTCCCTTCACCCCCATCATATGTGTCAATTTCCCGCTATTTGCTGGGCGGCCGCATTTAGCCCCGCAGCTTCGCCCAGTTTCCCCAGCGTCTACTCGACCCTGAGAATCAAGTAGACGCGGGGAAAATCAGGCAAAGCTGCGGGGCAAAATACGGCCGTGCAGCAAATAGCGGGAAATTGACACATATGATGGGGGTGAAGGGAGGAGCGAGGACGGAGCAGCGGCTTGCGGGAAATCAGTCCCTGAGTATCCTGAATACCTTTTGAACAATTGTGTATTACAGACTTTGGATTATTCATTGTACAACGTTGTTATAGGTTTTTCTTTATATTAATATATTTTGTTCATTGTTAATAGCATATTTTTACACAGCTTTCTTTTCTACTATTGTTACTTACCTCTGTGTCACGAAGAGCCTCACCTGCCAGTTTGCTTCCATAACTTAAGAATGCAAGAAGAGCCCTGCTGGATCAGACTAGTGGACCATCTAGTCCAGCAGCCTGTCTCTACCCATTAAGCCTCTACTAAAGGGACAGGGTATTTGATATTCTCCAGGCCTGTTGGCAACCCTATTGATCAAGCAGATTACTTTCTCCATGCTGGGAAAAACCTTCCCCTTCTCCTGCTAAATGTTTGTAGGGTGCCAAGTTGTTACTAAAGGCACATGAGTAGATCTAACAAACAGGGGAATGATCCTAATTATCAGTATAAAGAAGAATGAGATTGTATCAGTATAAAGAAGAATGAGATTGTAAGCCGCTCCAAGACTCCAAGTGAAGGGCGGGGTATAAATCCAATCTCTTCGATTGGATTTATACCCCGCCCTTCACTTGGAGTCTTGGAGCGGCTTACAATCTCATTCCCTTCCTCTCCCCACAACAGGCACCCTGTGAGGTAGGTGGGGCTGAGAGAGCTCTGAGAGAACTGTGACTGGCCCAAGGTCACCCAGCTAGCTGCATGTGGAGGAGTGGGGAATCAAACCCGGTTCTCCAGATTAGAGTCCGCCACTCTTAACCACTATGCCAAACCACTACACCAAACTGCTCTTAACCACTACACCAAACTGTAGGACACCTCATTTTTCTGAAAGAGAGGGTCCTTTAACTGGGGAAAATTGGTACACCTCTGTTGTTAGAAGGCTGGACTTATAATAAATTCAAATCTGTTCTCCACTCCAAATAGAAAATCAAATGTAAACTTATATGAATGTATTACATAGTTATATATCGATACATAAGGCCTTCAAATGGTTTGAAGGAACTTCTTCTAATGTTTCAATATTGTACTTTTGTACAAAGTATATGAGAACAATATTTGTACTTCACAGACTGGGATTTCTACAAAAAGCACTATGTAAGCTTTATATTTTATGGAAAGCATACCCAAACATATTAAAAGGCAAACTGATTTCCTGTCACTCATGGAGTTGTGCATGTTTTGGCTTCTTTCTCTTTTTCTTTCATTATGGCACAAAGCCATACAGCCCACCCTCCAAAGCAGCCATTTTCTCCAGGGGAGCTGATCTCTGTCAGCTGGAGATCAGTTGTAAAAGCGGGGGATCCCCCAGGCCCCACCTGCTGGCAACCCTAAGCAGGGCTCTTCTTGTGTTCTTAATCTCCAGGTTTAGAGGCAGTCAACCTCTGACTCCCAGAGCCAGGAGGCAACATCAGGGGAAGGCCTCGGCCTCTGTGCCCTGTTGTTGGCCCTCCAGAGGAACTGGTTGGCCACTGTGTGAAGCAGGATGCTGGACTAGATGGACCACTGGTCTGATCCCGCAGGGCTCTTCTGATGTTCTTTGGAAGGCCTCAGCCGCTGTGCCCTGTTGTTGGCCCTCCAGAGGAACTGGTTGGCCACTGTGTGAAGCAGGATGCTGGACTAGATGGACCACTGGTCTGATCCCGCAGGGCTCTTCTGATGTTCTTTGGAAGGCCTCAGCCGCTGTGCCCTGTTGTTGGCCCTCCAGAGGAACTGGTTGGCCACTGTGTGAAGCAGGATGCTGGACTAGATGGACCACTGGTCTGATCCCGCAGGGCTCTTCTGATGTTCTTTGGAAGGCCTCAGCCGCTGTGCCCTGTTGTTGGCCCTCCAGAGGAACTGGTTGGCCACTGTGTGAGAGACAGGAGGCTGGACTGGATGGGCCCTCCCTGGTCTGACCCAGCTGGGCTCTGTGTTCTTACTAGGATGGGAGACTTCCAAGGAAGTCCAGGGTTGCTACCCAGAGGCAGGCAAACCACTTCTGAATGCCTCTTGCCTTGAAAACCCTACAGGGTCACCATAAAGTCAACAATTTCCACCACTTTGTGTTTTTTTGCAATGAGCACATCCAAGATGGGAATTTTGACTTGCTAAATCTCACCCATAACCTGGCTGCAACCTGGCAGCACTTTAAACACACAAACCCGGGTACTCTCAACAGGGAACCACCGGCCCCGTTTTCAGAACTAAAAAATTAGGCCTTACTCATTCCTCACTCTGTTTCTGCAACAGATGCTGGACTTTACATTAAAGTGCTCAGACAAAATAAGGAATATTTTATGGCCGTGGAGGACTCATCGTCCTCAAAGGTTAACGGAAACAGTAGTATACCTGGTGCAAAGAAGTAGTACTTGTGAAATGTTTAAGTATATAGAAGGACAAGCCTTGCCTAGGAAGCATTTAGCCTGGCTTCTGCAAAGGGAAGACCTACCTCCACTGTTCCCTCTAAGCTGTGTGTGTGAGCTGTGCACAGGAAGTCTGGAGGGAGCAGCAATCTGGAGCCGCACAGGGGTCTTGCACTCCCCATTATAAGATTACATCAGTTATATTCTGCTTAGGATGTGAACCACTCAGTAGGGGAAAAAAACTTAGAGGGAACACTGACTACCCCATGAACGTTTTTGAAGAATATCGTAGAGACAGTGGGGCAGAATATGAACAAGCATATGAACAAAGGTAATCAAGTAGACATATATAGTTTGCCTTACTTTTCCCTTTTCTTTTTTTCACAAAAGAGGGCCCTGTTTTACAAGAATGGGCCCTACGAGTAAGTGTAAATAATTAAGGTAGGAGGAAACAACCTCTTCTTACAGAAGAAGGGAGGAAGCAGGGGCCTCTCCTAAGGATCTGTTGGATCCCCAAGCATCGAG